AAAGGTGGGGGGTGGCTCTATACATCCGCGATGACATAGGGATTAGGTCAACGTTGTCAGAAGCTCATGACAGCGGCACCAGTGAAGCCGCAAGTAGCGTCATTAACTTGAACAAAGGCACTTTAACGGTCGGAGGTATTTACGGAAGTCCTGCTAGCCAAGCTGATGACTTCGTTCTAAATCACTTGGGGACCTGGGGTAGTGGAAATAGTGTTTGGTTGTTGGCGAATTTAATGCTCCACATATTAATTGGGCGGAATTAAACTCCACTAGTTTGTATACCTGTTTCAATAGGGAGCTCACACTGACAGTGCTTGAATGTGCACTCGTGCAACATATGCATGCACCAACACGGTATCACCTGGAACATGATCCATCTACTCTAGATTTGGTATTAGCACACCAGAAGGAGGACGTTGGTGACATTAGGTGCCTTCCGCCGCTTGGCAGCAGTGACCACATAGTCACTGCCTTTACGTTTAAGATTCATTCTCTCATACACACGTCAAAATCTGCTCGTCCAAACATTTGGAAAGCGGATATACAAGGAATCCGGAACGCAGCAACTGCAGTTGACTGGTCAGTAGATACAAGTCGGACTGTCGAGGAAGCTTGGGTAGGATTTAGGAATACACTAGATTGTGTCACTTCACCTTTTATACCTTGGTACACTCCTCGAAAGCTATCGCACAAGCCACCTTTTATTACTAGTGAAATAAGGAGGGTATTAAGACGGAGAAAGAACTAATGGGACCAATTTATTATGACAGGAAGGGAAAGTTTCCAGAAAGACTACCGCAAAATTCGAAATCTCTGTAAGTATGCGATTAACAAGAGTCGTATAGAATACGAGAGACGGCTTGTACTAGATTGTGTTCACTACCCAAAAAGGCTCTTCTCGTATATTAAACGTAGGACTAAAACTAGCAATGGTATACCATCACTCATAAGCATTAATGGAGAAACGGCTGAGTCAGACGAAGGAAAGGCTGAAAGCCTCTCTGAATACTTCTGTGACGTCTTCTCGTCTGACAGTACCACCCAGGGATATGGTGAGGTCACTGCCATTGCCACTCAGATGCCCTCAATTGTGGTAGAACACACAAAAGTCCTCAAACTACTGTCTAAACTGAAGCCAGGTAAATCATCTGGGCCTGATGGACTTCACCCTAAACTGTTAATTTCCTTGGCGGATATAATATATATTCCGCTTGCGGAGATTTTCCAAATGTCACTGACCCAGGGTAAGCTACCCAGGGACTGGAAGGATGCCATTATAAGCCTTATATTCAAAGAGGGGGACAGACAATTGGTATCTAACTACAGGCCGGTAAGTCTGATATGCATTATAGCAAAGGTAATGGAAACTATTATAAGGGATCAGCTATTAGCTTATGTTGAAACACATGGCTTACTGGCAGTTGAATAGCAGTAATCATGAACAGACTAAGCCGAACTCGGGAGGAACAAACGAGGGAAAATCAAGCGGGCTTTAGGCCAGGTGGAGGGTGCATAGATCATATCTTCACTCTCCGACAGATCCTAGAACACAGACACACTTTTAGGCGTCCAACAATTGCCATATTTCTTGACTTGAAGGCGGCCTTCGACTCCGTGGATCGAGAGGTTCTATGGCAATGTTTGACTATGAAGGGAGTGCCAAGAAAGTACATTGCACTAATCAAGGCACTCTACTCAAACTCACGTAGCTGTGTAAGGGCTTATGGGGAATTGTCATCTGAATTGATAACAACCAGTGGTGTCCGTCAAGGATGTCCACTTTCCCCTTTTCTGTTTAACTTCATCATAGATATGCTAATGGAAGTATCCTTAACTGAACTTAACGACTTAGGAATCGACTTGTTACCAGGGAATAGTCTAATAGACTTAGAATACGCAGACGACATAGTCCTGTTAGGGGAGGACACTAACAAAATGCAGAGTCTTCTGAACACCTTGAGCAGCAATCTTCGTATGTTTGGCATGCGATTCGCCCCTGTTAAATGTAAGATGCTGCTACAGGACTGGATTACGTCAACTCCTAGCTTAGTGATAGGGAGTGAAGTGATAGAACATGTTGACCACTTCACCTATTTGGGAAGTCGTATCAGCACCAACGGATTGATTGGTGACCAAATCTCATCACGGATCCAGAAAGCTCGGGCTGCTTTCGCTAACTTACACCGTCTCTGGCGTAGGCGTGACATCCAGCCATCAACCAAGGGACGTGTATACTGCTCAGCAGTTCGCTCTGTCCTTCTCTATAGCTCTGAAACATGGCCAATATGAGTTGAGGACATGAAAAGGTTCACTGTTTTTGATCATAGATGTCTACGATCTCTTTCTCACGTTAGGTGGCATAATAAGGTAAGTTATATTGACGTTAGGCGTAAAGTGTTAGGCAAAGAGGGAAAATCAATCGACGAGGCTATAAAGTTACATAGATTGAGATGGCTAGGTCACGTGCTGCGCATGCCTAACCATCGTCTCCCCCGACGGGTATTACTAGCTGATATAGGTGCAGGTTGGAAAAGAGTAAGTGGTGGCCAAACAAAAACATGGCATCAATCCATGAAATCTTTGACAGTTAAACTGAGTTAGGTAGGGAGATGCAGACTTCCGGGTTAGGGCCCTCGGGACTCTAAGAATCAATGGCTGGAGACAATAGGTGACATGGCTCAAAATCGTTGTCAATGGCGCAGATGTATTCAGTCTCTTTAACCTTCATATTCCTTTCTACCATTACTCATTCTGTTTCAATCTTATACTTATCTAAATTCTATTGATTCTCTTCTCTCATTTTCCTGTCTACCTTTGTGTGCTATTTGGAACGTGGCAACTGGAACTGCTGCACTTCGGTGCCAAGTTCTATGTTGAATCCAGCAGCAGCAGCAGTTGAATAGCATGGATTCCGACCAGGACGATCCTGCTTGACAAACTTACTGTTAGCTAGGGAAGATTGGGTCAAGGCCAGAGATAAAAACCTTCTGTTGGACGTGGTTTTTATTGATCTTAGCATGGCATTCGACAAAGTATCCCACTTAGGTCTCCTTAGTAAACTCAAAGGTTTCGGACTAGACCAATGCCTATGTGAGTGGTTTAGGGATTACCTAATGGATAGAAGGCAGAAGGTCAGAGTTAACGGTGTACTATCAGGGTGGAAAGCAGTATCCAGTGGAGTGCCTCAGGGAACTGTATTAGGCCCCTTGCTATTCCTATTATACGTTAATGAGCTACCGGAGATTCTTACTTCATCTTCATTGTTATTGCAAATTACATTAAGATATGAAAAACTGTAAATAATAACGAGGATAGGTCGGCCCTACAAACTGATCTAGATAAATTAGCTGAGTGGTCGGACCAGTGGAGTTAGGAAATGAATTCTAGGAAAAGCGCGGTAATGCACCTAGGTCAGAAGTCTTATACGTCGTACTCCCTAGGGGACACAGAACTACCTGATGTTAACGAACAGAAGGACCTAGGAATCATTGTCAGCAATGATTTGAAAACAACTGCAAATTGCAATGCAGCCGCAGCTAAGGCTTTTCGAATGCTGTGGGCACTCCGTAGGGCTTTCAACCGATTAGACGAGGGCATGTTCCAAATACTCTACGCAACTTATGTCAGGCCTCATCTAGGATACTGCGTACAAGCGGCGGGTCCATGCTTCAAAAAGGAGGCACATATCCTGGAAAGAGTACAGAGTAAGAACGAAATTAGTTAGTGGTATCTCACACCTTCCTTATGATAAGAGGATGGAGCATTTAAATCTCTTTCCGTTATCATACCGAAGGAAGACAGGCGACTTAAGTTTAGCATACCGTATACTAAGGGGTGATTTAGGAACTGACCTTTCTAAACTTTTCTCCCCTTCTAGGATACATTTACGGGGTCACCGCAAAAAGGTGCTCAAACCGAGGACGATTAAAATACGTGCTGAATTTAGATTCTCTCACAGAGTGGTCAACGACTGGAACTCCTTACCTGATTCAGTAGTAACAGCTCCATCGGTGAACGCTTTCAAAGAGAAGTTAGACCTCTGTAGAGATATATTTTGCAAGGATTAACACAGGCCATAAGAGCCTTCTATCTTTATCAACTGAATCCGAATCATTACGCCACCTGACAAAACCTTTGGGCGGAAAAAGCAGCATAAAGTGTGGGGAGTACGTGGAAGACGCACGACTTATATGACAGAAGTTAGTAACTTCCAGCTAGCATTTTATTCGGGCGCGTTGTAAGACGTGAGACAGTTATCTGAAGTCAATGACTTCAGTATAACTGGAACAAGAGTAACACCTAAGTATATATTTTATCGGTTGGTTGAGCGAAAATTTACGACACTTTTCAGATAATTTCAGAATTATTTTGATATTTCGGAAGAATTAATTTCACGGAACTGACCGTAGTTTATTCTGTGACCCAAGCTTACAATAATGCTGAATTAAATCTCAGTAATTCTGAAATAATTCTAGCATCCTATAGTGAGTAAATTCTGAATCTGTTCTCGAGTGGTTTGTTTAATGGCACAGACTAGAACTCAGTGCTGGTTTTCAGCGTGACTAGAACTAATTCAGCACCGTGTTCTTTTTCTCGGCATTTTTAGGAATAGATCAGAACATACTGGGTTTGCTTATCAGCGTTGTTCCAGCCCTCACAGGACATATTAAGTACTGACTAGCATTACTTCACGACGACAAGACTTAATTCAGCACTCAGCTCTCTTTTTAAGCACGACCAGCGTTATTTCAGAACATGGTGGGTAGATAAAATCTTCATTTACCATAAAAAGGCATTATCGACGCATTGGTTAGAATAAGTTTAGAATTGTTGTAAGCTTGGGGAGCAATACTTTATGGTGTTATATTTGTATACAGTGGGAATGGATATTATACATGTGCTTAAAGTTTGATAAAGCTAAGAATGCCGAAATTTTATGCTATTATTTCGTCGAAAACAGAAGTTCCAGTATACTCAATAACAGCCTTCGAGAGACCAACCTTGTAACTTCAGCGTAGCTGCAACTTTCGAAAAGCGCTCGACGCAAACTTGGCTTGAAAGTTTTCAGAACTACCAAAACATAAGTAAATATTCACTTTGATATTATTTTGTTAGATGTTATTAAGAAATTTACTCATTTACTTAATAATCAATTTCGAAAGGTGTTTCATTACTTTCAAACTCTCAATAATATTTATCGAATTGCTAAAAAATATAAACATTTTTACTAAGCGAATTAAAATCCCTATGTATCTATATTTTCTGCTTGCACGCGATTAATTTTGTTTATTTAAACCTGTTCAAAATCCTATGTTGCTAGTCTGATGGTTCGGTGTTGCAGTTAGTTCAACTTATATTGGGTAGTGTAAGTGCAGTTTAATGTGTCATGTTGTTTCTACTTTCAATCCTTAATGGCATTTAGCTGCATGCTACTCCATATTCATCCATTTCTCTTACATATAGTAAAGGAATAAAGTCGATATGCTGCATTAGGATGAGTGATCACTCATTTTTATAATGTTCGGACATTAGACCTATGAAAATTCTTCACTGACAATTATTAGACATCTTACATACATCTATTCTGTGTGGACGGAAGTTCTTAAGTTATGCTTAACTAGGCCAAATCGTTTCAGTCACCACAATTAGCTAACGTCAGCTGGACATGTTTATTCTTACTAGACATTACTCTTAGTCGTAATCGCACTTAGCCAGAAAATAAATTCGAACAGTTACCATTTACCGATTCGCAAGATTGATCTACCAACTGATTAGTGTAATCCTGAAAGGCTCATTGAATGTAGGCCAACATTTTATGCTGTCCTAATTTCAAGTTATTTGGCTTTCGTCGATGTTTATCTTAGGAGGCTTAGATTTGCCTGTCTTTTAACTAACTGACTAACTGGTAAGCACGTTTATGTGATTTGGCTGATTTTGAAGCGCCTTAAGTTGTGGTGAGTTTTTTTATTTGTAATTTCTGTTTCAACATTTCTGTAATGATCATCACTGGTACCTCCATTCACATCGGTTGTGTATGGTATATCTATCACGTCGTGTTGCACACTAATTATAATTTAATGGAGACTTCCTATCGCGAAAAGTGAGGTTTAAAGGTCTACTGAGTTTCTGCGTTGTTTAAATGCAAAGTTTTGCTAACGGGCACTGACAGAAGCCAATGTTGGTGGAACCCCTGGACTAGTTCATATAGGCTTATGTGGGACACATGTTCTAAGTAAAATTCTCATTGTCATCTTAGTTAAAATGTATCTTCATTGAATTTTCGTTTCAGTAAATATTTAGTGTTACTCGTTACTTTTTTGTACTACTGTCGTGGTATTATATAATCACAAGCGCTCACTATTCTGGGACTTGGTAATTTGACTTTGAACAAATAGTTTCCAAGTTTGCTGACACCTGACAAAAAAGTTTCACTTGCATTGTATTATATAAACGTCGGTATCGTATGTGATGTTACTAATTCCTCTCTAATAATTATTTCAGAATGGGTCTCTAACTAAAATTCACACCTCATGTTGAAACGGACTTCAGTAAAACACATAAACTCGTCATATAGTGCATTGCTCAAAAAACTTTTTGTCATGAAACAACAACTCTCAAACAGCTGCATGGGTTTAAATTGTCATATGGGCATAATACCATTTCATGATACTTCTCTCAGAGCCTCACGCCTCTTCATGACAGTGTCTAATGCTGTCCTCAGCTAGTGTGACAAATATCGGCTGCTAATAACTGTAGTAGTTATAATAAGGTCACTATGCCTCGTGCTTCATTGTGTGATTTAAAAGTCTGTATTTTTGCGTTTTGTGTTTAAACTCATCTTAGTTTTCGTTTGACTACGAGTCTCTTGGTCTGAAGTACCTTATATGTTAACCTGCTTATTACTGTGGTATTCGCTTGATTTTTTTCCCTTAAATCGGCATTACTCTGAAAAATAAACAGTCTAAAGCAAACTTGTATACCACGCATATTTTATAGATGTTTGGATATAAGGTGAGAAAAGGTAAATGATAGGCAGCAAAGTGGTAATATATGGGTTCATCAAATACTTGATATATACCTATAGTTATAGCAATTCAGTGTTTATTGCCAATTTCCTTTATTAGTAGGCTATCACAAAGTCACTTAACTCTTCCAAGTGATTAAATGTCTGGTGCTAAGTCTTAGTGCTGCTATTTCACTATCTCGCGAAAACTTGGCACTTAGCTTAGACTGACAAATTCGTGGTTTCTGATTCAGGCTGGGCATGCAATCTTATGAACATATTCATTGGTTGTCACTATCAAATATTATTACACTATTCAATCATTTTGAAGACCAGTTCCACAAGCTACAATGATCTATTAGTTTGTTACAGAACGTTTGCCACGTATACGTGACATAAGAGTGTGAATATGTAACATTTAAACTGAGTGACATTTCCGGATACTTAGAAAAATATAGTCATTAATCTTTAGAGACATTGGTTCTCAGTATACATAGAGCCCGACTGTAAGGCTTCAAAACAACCATCTTCTTGCTCAATGAAACAATGTGCTATAAACTATTTGTTTTTTTATTATAGACACTAAATTCAGTCTGAGTTTCTGACTCTGTACCACGTAAAGAGGTTTAGGCTTTCAGATGGAGTAGTGACTTAAATACTGTGATATAAATGTATGCAGGATAAAATATATTTGTATGTTATGTAGCGTATTCTTTCGTCGGTTTTTGTTGTCTCCAAAAGTTGGCTCGTTGATTTTGGCTCTCTACTTCGAACGATTGGGTCACAGGTTCGATCTACCACTTACCGATATGCAGACAACCAGTTAATGTCTTCAGCATTCACCATAGATGAAGTTCATTGATACCTACACGGTAATAGAATGGGTTGTCGAGTAACTCATAACATAACCTCGTTTCCGCGATCACATTGTTTCCCTTTTCGTGTTATTTTTCTCGCGCTGCAGTAAAGTGAGTATGAACCGCACGTTTCAGCAACGAGAAGTGGTAATGTTTTACGAGCTCATCAATTGGTCAGTCTACTATACTCCATGTTTCAACTCAAAAGTGGTTTAGATGTCAACTACCATTCTTGGTATCGAAACGTGGTGGAATTATTTTTAGCTATTTTATTCCGTATTTCCTGACAAGCTGTCGATGGATTGCACTTATAAACGTTATAAGTCACATTTAGCAAGTAAGATAAGGATTTTGAACAATGTTTGAATCGTTCCTCAGCATTTTAGAAACTATATCGCAGAAAGTTAACTTACCTGAATAGTGAATCAAGTGGGTTTTCAATACAGAATGACGCCACATGGTCTAATCCGCTTGACAAGTCTAGTGACACATGCACATTTATTAGCATTGGACAGTAATCCTTATCTGAACTCTGTGTTTGATTCCATCGATTATAAGAAAGAGGAGATTGTGAGAAGTTATCCGATTGTATCGTCTTAGTCTAGTTTTGAAATCATTGATGTCATATGGTTTTGTCCATTATGTGATTATTTTGTTATTTTATTCCTTTCTAAAAGCTTTACTTCGTCCTGCTTATTATACTTTTAGCACTCCTATATGTGGTTATGGGTGCCTTCCTAGATAAACCCAAGACAGAAAAAGTAGTTGATATGGGACAAGGAAACGGACTTCGATATGCCATTTCAAGTATGCAAGGTTGGCGAGTGGAGATGGAAGATGCCCACGTAGCCAAATCTGAACTTCCCAGTCCTTTCCAATACTGGTCGTACTTTGGTGTATTTGATGGTCATGCAGGATCACGCGTTTCAGAGCTTTGTGCAGCTAAGTTACTAGACGTAAGCTGCTAAGCTGATTTATTCTTATAACATTCAGGCTATTCTTAATACAGAAGAGTTTCAGAAGCTTGATCCCGCTTCTACGGAGCTTGACACTACTTTGGTGAAACGCGGCATCGTAAACGGATTTTTAGCTTTTGATCGCGATTTAGCATCTGAAGATTCTAATGAAAAATCTGGTTCTACCGCGGTGGTTGCTTTCGTTACTCCAACCCATATAATCATGGCTAATTGTGGTGATTCAAGAGCTATACTTGTTCGAGACAATAAACCCCTTTTGGCAACTCAAGACCATAAACCATACAATCCTATCGAACGCCGGAGAATTTCTGAAGCTGGCGGTCAGGTTATGTTATCACGAGTCAATGGATCTTTAGCTGTTTCAAGGTAGTGTCAATTTTCATTTTTCTATGATCATAGGTTGTCCATTTTAAATGCTATGGATAGTGATCACTTCATGTAGGAAGTGTGTATCATTTGGATGAATATATAAGACTTGGATAGAATTTTCTGTACCTGTATCTCTGCTTTGCTCACAATTGTGCGAAATGCTATGAATATTAAGAGTAACACTGGCGTTACTAAAACTTTAGGAGGCAATCAGTAGTGGGGAAGACAAATTTCTCTTCCTTATATGATGTACTGATTACACTTGTGCTCACCAATTCAAGTGAGCTCTGTACAACTTAATATACTTCTAGGTTAGTTTTGATTTCTGTAATATAGGAATATAATTTAGGCCTTGGTAGGGCATCCAACAACAACCCAAACCATTGGTTCAAGTACGTGTGTGAAACCTTCCATTTCATCATATATGCTAAATGTATTACTGAGCTGATAACTGAATAGCAGTAATAAAACAATGAAACTTATCACTCCCAGTATCGTGCACTATTCTGTCAGTCACTGGTTTGATACCTTTGTTTTCAAAGCGGCAATTTTAACTTCTGTGAATTCTCTGATAAGTCCTCCAGTGAAATGCGCAGAGATTTTTTAAGATTGTGAAAATATGTGGTTTTACAGAAAGATTGCTTTTGGGAGTCAGCTGAGTGTTTCCTGTAGGCATCTGTCATTGAGACCACTGTTTTCCTATTGACATACTTTTAAAATGTTGTATCTTAACTTCATTTGGATTTCTAATTGTCTTATTGCTTAACTAAAAACTGCTACTGTCGTGAACTCAGTTCAATATAGCAGTAGTGTGGGATGGAAATTTAGAAAATGATGACTTTTACTTAGTGACAGGGAAAGCCTTTCTACATGAATAGAAAATGTGTTTATAGTATTAGTTAAATGTATTTATTTGTATATTTTAATGTAAGTCTCATGTAATTCATGTAAGCCCTGTACAGTTTCCTGTTAAGTTGACTTTGAATATCTATATATAGTTTACAGTGTAACCTCACGAAAAACATCAAATAACAGACTCATCAGACCCATGAATTTGTCGAACCCATTCTTTTTCAGAATCCTTCTGAAGTATAAATTACTATGGATGTACTTTCAATCATAATGATTGTTAAAGTAATTTAGAGTAGATGTCTTACATGTATTTGCTCATGATATGTTGTTTCTTTCTTTCCTTTTTCCTAAAGATCTCTTGGTGACTTCGAATACAAACAGGTATTTAGTCGTGGAGCTACTGAGCAACTCGTTTCTCCTGAACCAGATGTATTTATCATTGAACGTAAGAAAGAATTTGATCAAGTTCTCCTCCTTGCGTGTGATGGTGTTTGGGATGTCTTTGAGAACGATACCCTTACAACTTATGTCCTTCATAGGTTGTGTTGTTTACCCTCTTTAGTAGATGTTTGTTCAGAAATCCTTGATACCAGTTTGCACAAGGTTAGTTTTCTCCTGTCAGTCAGTAGAACGTTCATAATGTTTAAGTTTTAAAATACATGTGAATGGCTAACTATATTTAGCAAATTTTGGCCTCATGTTGTTGTACAAGACTCACGGTGTTCATAAAATTCTTCGTGCTATGCTTGTAGTATAATAATAATAATAATAATATACTTTGTTCCAAAAACAGTACTTGTGATACAGAATGGAATTTTCAGCATTAATCACAATATTGCATCTAATTTCCTCAAATTATAAATAAAATTTTTTCTACATTTACAATAGGGGTAATTTTTAAAAAAACATGCAGCATATAAAATGGAAATAATAATGATAGCAGCTAAGGTAATGATAATAATACAGGTGGAAATTGCCGTGGGCTTGTTTCACACAGTATTGTCGATGCATGATTAAAAATATTGAATATAATGTTCTCTTTACATGATATGGTGAGGGAAAAAAGAAAGATTACAGAAGTCATAGAGATAAGTTGGTGTTTGCAGTTATTGTACAACCTACTTTTTATTGTTTGATTGGGCCGGTAAAATTGGTATCTGAAGAAGTATCCAGGCATCCTTGTATTTGGTGCATAATCGAATGCATTTGTTCTCTTTTTCTTACTCATAATGCAGACCCCTTGCTACTAAACACTCAGGAATGTAGGAAGACTAGTGTAATTTTGATTCATTTTGTCTTGACATGTATCACTAATAAAAGTAAAATAAACTCTTATTTCTCTTAAACGGCTTTATAACGTGACAATAATTTGATATAATTGTCATCTTTACTGAAAATTCGTGACAAATTACCAAATGAGAATTGTTTCAGCTGGTTCCCGAATAACTGTCTAAACAGTAACTATAGTTGTTGAATAGCAATATTGTCCAAGTTATGATGCAAAAGTTATTTTGGTCTTAATATTTCCAGCTTTAGAAACTAGCACTAATACAACTTCTTTGTTTCCTTAATTTCTGCAGGGTAGTCGTGATAATATGAGTGTTCTTTTGGTTGCGTTAGATGCTGCTCCTACCGTGGATCCAGAAGCAGTCCGTAAGGAAATGGAATTAGACAATTCTATAGAGAATTTGATTGTTGGTAAGTTTACACGTTTAATTTCCAGAATAAAATCAGTTGAAATCTCAAAGCAGGTATCACATGCTGCGGTAATAATTCTGTTGAATATATGCATATTTAAGACACATCGTTTTTCGCGAACTCAGTTCTTATCAGGTTAATACACTAGATAACCATATGTTAGTTAAATGAACCCACTTATTTAAAGTAGATGCCGTGTACATTCGCTTTTTTATACTTTGTCTTAATTTTCCTTGAAACAAACACGCGCAGATCGATTTCTTTATGATGATATTTATTTTTTAGACCTAGGTTGAGGAGTCCTGGTAACAAATGAAGCCTGCAATATCAATATCTCCCCATCATATCAAATTTGTGGATCCATTGCTCATCTAACTCACTTACTCATTCCATGAAATCGATTGTAAAGTCCTTAATGTATTGAATTAGAAAAATATAAATTTTGTCAAAACTGACTATAGTCTTAAACTGTTATTTCAGTGTTTTGTGCACAATTTCCTTTCGATGCATTGATCTAAATTCAGTGTACGAGTAAGACCTTAATTTTGTGCAATATGCGTTATCTTTTGTCTTTTGTGCTGAATGGACCGTAAAATGCACTTGAAATCATCTAGCATACTGCTGGAAAAGTTTATCTCACTGTTGTCAGAATATAGACACAGAAGGCATACTACTTTCATTGTAGGGACTAAATCGGGAACTCAGTTAAATCTTATCTCTACTTGACCCAAGTATTAATCATATTTGTGTCAGACTACTTAAGTTCTGTTCATTCACACTTCCCAGTAAATTCTGTGTTTAACTAGTTTGGCAGATAAATGAATCTTAGTTAACATCGTTTGTTTGGATTTTAAAATCTGGTTAATTTTACATTCATAACCTAGTGAATCTGAAGTATTTGTATGATTTACCTTTATTCATACTCAGATATAATGAACTCAGCCGGTGCAGATGCTGACACTTTGAGTGTGAACTATATCGCCAATACAGTTAAAAGTATGAACCTTCCAAATTATCCTCCGGGTGGCTTCAACACCAAGTGAGCATCTCACATGTACTAATTATTTGCATTAATTTAATTACCAAGCGTAATTACAGTATTTTAGTTAGCGGTAGTTTTGTTTCCTATTCAGGTATGGTTTGAAATCACAACAGTAATTTGGCCCCAGTTGCTACAACTAAAATTTATAGTAGATCTTTACTTATACTAACTTATTTCGGCATTTTTTGTTATGTTCAAACCCTATGTAAGTTTTTGGAATCGTTATCTCTAAACTACTGTACATTTATCCAGCAGTTTGCCTCCCCAAATAACTCTGCATAGATAGCCAAAACATTGGTCAGGTGCGTGTGTTTTACGGCTACCTGACAGATTTATGCTTAATATGGGGCAATAGCACGGGGAAATGAGAGAAACTAACTGCAACTTTAGTCTTAGTGTAAATAATTCTAATATGGGAGTTTCAAAGACGTAATCCATAAGATCCCTCTCTCCAGCTTTCATCATTTCTAATTTCACTGACTCTCCCAGTACAGAAATTCACCCACTGTGCTGTTGATCGTCTTCATAAGCTTTTGTGGGCGAGTAGTGGTATGGGTCTTTTTACATATGTTGAAGTTCAATCGTCTGAACTTATCAGTCGAAGTCTTCACCAGATATGTAACTGTTGAAATTTAAAAGTTAACTTTCTGACATGATATATTTTATTTTTAAAAGCTCCTTCAGAAGCAAATAAAACCTTAAAATGATAGGAATTTGTCTAGGGGCATCGAACAAAGTTATTTTCGTCCCTGTTACGACATTAGCTTGTGTTTATCTTTTAATAGCAAAGATCCCCCGACAACCGAATTTACATCTTAGGTTGTGAGGTATGTCTGATGTCAAAAACACTTAAAGCAAGATTCCATGGAGTAACTCAGTCGATAGAAATGTAAATCAATCAGTAACAGCGTAGTTAATTCTCAGATTTGCAAAGTGATTTTTATCCAGTGCTGCCTTCAGAAATATAGGAAGATATTGGGTATGCTGGCATCAAGTGGCCTTCACACAGTGTAGATAAATAGGATATACCGCTATTGACTTTATTTGAATGAGATTGGAAGGAAGTTGAACTTTTCAGGTCTTGTTTAGAATATGTCTGTTTGTGCTTAAATCCATCATATGTTGTGTGTGGGTCATACAACTGAAAATCTTTCTATGATTATATTTATGGTGGTGGAGCTGTCTGTTGCGACTGTATGTTTATCGAAGAATATTATTCACTCGTTCAAATATGGTCTGGTGTCACACATAGCAGCCGCAACTGAAGCCTAGCAAATTGTAAAAAAATTGAGTAGATTTTGAACCAATAGTTTCATAGTAGATCGTCCTTCTAAAGTGAAGACTTTTATGGTCTAAAGCGACATTGACATAAAAGAAGATAGAAAATAGCCACCAGGAATACTCATTCGAAGAAAGTCAATGGTTGAAGTACTACCACGATTGGTTTTTTCGTAAACAGAAGTTAGAATCCTGTAGCTGAACTTCATTTACCCAATTTTAAATTAAATGCCACTTATCTTGGTATACTTAACGTGATTCAGATTCAGGTGTTTACTTCCAGTGCAGTTGTAATTCGGAAAATGGGTCAATTAATTGTGAATATAATCCATAGCTTATGTTTGTGTTCTAGTCAAATTTAGTTTTGAATTAATAAAATTCTTAGAATGCGATGCGTTTATTTAATGAGCATACGTTTAAGTTACTAGTTATGCTTATTGTTTATCACTTATTAACCATGAAAAATTAAGTGTGATGGTTCTTTGATATATCAGTGAAATTTTTCGCAGTTTGAATTAGCAAATATTTTTCCGAAATTTCATCTCTACTGGAAGATACTGGTAGAGATAATATTCCAATCAGTTGTATCGAACATGTACTTTTACTGAAGTTGAACGAATATAAGAATCTACCTAAATACATTTGTACAAATCACCATACACCAAAAGCCCAAAAAGAGTATGCTGGTGATCTGATCTAAGAATGTTAATGAGACGGGGAAAAGTAGTTTAAATGAAATATTCAGATATTTATGGGTGGTAAAAAGCTATTAGGAGTTACGTCACAAAAACCTTCAGGCACACTTAAACCAAGCTGACTCAAGGTAAGACTTAACTAAGTAAATTGGCATCTTGTTTCATTCATTCTAGACTTTCAAGTGACTGTGTATCAAAGCAGACTGCTTTGTTGCTTGTAATACTCCTGTCAGTGTATATTCACAACCTTTTCTACTGTCTGTCTTTCCGAGCTGTAAACTTCTCAAGTGCCCATTTAAAGATTGACATACTTAACAAACCTGTCAAGAAATCACTAGGTCAATTTTTTTGACGACATCTATTTTAACTTCAGTAAACATACTACTGTGTAGTAAACTTATTCTTTTCTGGGCCAATACTTCAAATATCATGAGTGGGTAATTTAATTCCTCTGTAGATTGTCCTCTTATATTTGTAGGTGAACATACATTATTTTATTCAGCTCTATGAAGTCACTGAATAAAACTTACAACGATGACTTCCGTCATGCCATAATATTTTTACAGTGTAATCTAAACATGTCTTCCCAGTAAAGGTATTCTTTCGGTTTACAACAAAGTACAAAAGAAAATGAATATGAAGTCAGTATTCCAAAAGAGAATTTATTTTCCTAAGTTACACTGATTTTGTAGTATGTGGGAGAAACCCGCAACTCAGTCAATGCAAATCACTGTGACGAAATCTAATGTGTGATGTTTCGCAATGGATGCCCTTTTCTACATAGTGAATAATTTCTAAACAATGCTAGATTATTATATCTGTACATTTCTGTTTATTCACACACGAGGTCATACAGGAAATGTTTATCTTTCAGATCGGTGTATTTCCACAGAATAAAATTTGTTTCTTAAAATCACATTCTGGCCAAGACATTATCTATCATTACTGTATAAGGTGTAATAAATTAGCCTCCTAAATGTAACCACTGTGTCTGTTATTACATTTACTAAAATTATGACGAACTACTGAATTTTTTTGCCTTTTGCACTGTAAATTTACCGTGTCATTCGTAACCTTCAGGTGTAGAAAATAGTGTTTAATATTGTTTACAACACTATTTCTTTCACTGAAGTTTAACCGAGGTGATTTCATTCTTTCCTCACCAAGTCGTCATACTAAAAGTAAAATATTCAATACATATCCTAAAAAGCGTAAAATGGGGTGAATACGAGCCCGTAAACTTCTATAGGATTTCTAAGCTCAAATAGTCATATCTACGATGATGCAATAGGAAATGAAGTTCAGACGTTTGTTAGAGATGAAATCATTGACTGGTTAATTGAAACGATGTGTTGGAGGTGGAGAAAACTGTGTGTATTTAAATTCAGCTAAGTCATTGAGAAAAAACAGTTCAATAGCTGCATAGGAAATTCTGTAATGCTAAGGAGTTAAGTAAGAAATTAAATGTAAATGATACACAAGCTCAGTAAGTGCATCTGGTTATAGAAGGATTTAGTCAGAAAATAATTTTATTTGGAACCAAAAATATATGACAAATGTTATCCTGCCACTAACTGTTGTTTTCATCATGATGTGATTAGACTTCAATTTATCTCAATCATACCCCCTTCATACCTCCCACATATTTGCCTATATATTTCAGAGTTATGTAACAATCTTTTATGCATCGTCTATGTTATTTTTCCGCCACGTGCTTAGTACAGTGGATTTTATACAATATTCAACTGAGTTCTCCGAAAATTTGTTCATTCACTGTTATCATTTATCGCCAGTTTTGGAATCCCGTTAGTTTGCATCGTAACACAAGTTTGTGTGATAAGTTATTGGCCACATTTGATAGCTGAGAATTAGCGATATTCTCTGGTAGGTCAAGCTGAAATTGATAAAGTGGGACTTGACCTTGAAACCTGTCTGCTGACAGTTCAGTACTTGATGATTCTGAAAAAAGTAATACCATAGACAAAATTCTTTGAGTGTAAAGTCACGTACATTGGGTTTTTCACATCGCTATAACGACTGCCAACCAAAGAATCACTTCTAAGTTGAAATTTAGGTATCAAAAATCCTTTCTGTTCATTTGGGTAGTGAGATTCTTTTGAATACAAATAACCAACATCTTAATCCTTGAAACTAATGATATCCTGAAAGTCCATTCTTTCTGTTAATTCAAGGATCTCTACAGTGATGCGATATGTAGTCTTGTTTTGGCGTATTTAGCTTCTGCTTTGTTTGCAGCACGAATTATGTGGCTTTTGTTGCCTGCTGTTGTTTTGAGTGACTGAAAATTAGTTGTGTATCTTTCAAGAAGTATATTACATTGCACTAGAAACTCAGGTGTTATACAGTCTAGGTGATTCATCTCTAAAAATCCTTTCATATTTTTGTATTTTAGGCGTGCTTATGTAGAAAACTTTTTCAATACGCGTTTTCGACGCAATAAATAGTAAGTGCAGTCTTGATAAATAATGTTTTATCCTTTACATTCACCACAAAATAATAGTTATATTTCACCAAATATATAAGTATTACATGCGTGGTGTGCTTCAGTATCTGCCTACCTTATTTTTCAATACTAATTACAATACAATATCATAACTACTTACATGTTTCTCCTTAATGTGTGATTGATTTGCTTTTCCAGTAACTAGGGTTAATGGCATTCTTTCTTCTCCATTTCAACAAAATTTAGTTACGTCGCAATACATCAAGTTCTTATTCGGTATACCAAAAACTGAGTTTTATTTCACACTGACATAGACCAAGTTTTCATTCATCCCAGTGTTGTTTAACTGAAGCTTTTATCATCAAATGAATTCATAGAATTTTCCATTAATTGTCGTAATAACATCACATATAGAGAAGATGGCATAGGTGATGTATACATGAGGATCGGTAATATTAATTAGTGAGGGATTGTTTTTCTTTATCTGGTGTTGAAACTTTTTATTTCTGTAGTTCTTGGTAAGTATTGTGAGGTACGCCTTCATAAAAATGTAATGTCACTAGTTGGACCAGTAGTACAAAATTTACCAGTGTTCGTCCTTAAGTCAAGTGTTACTCATTGTGGTGTTGTGCTTCAGTCAGACAGTTTTTCAAGAGGTTTTGTCACAAAAAGAAAAAGGTGTTTTACTTAAGCAAATACTGAAGAGCCTGTTTGTTGTATGTAAGCACAACAGTTAAAGACATCCTTCCTATACGTTACGGATGTTATTTCAAGAAACTGAACATTCTTACTGGTTCAAACATTATTTATCCGTCAATATTAGTGATCAAAAGGTTGTTTTATTTTAGCTCTCTAGTGTGATGCTCTCCTGAATGTGGATTCAAAGAAAAATTGGTCGGAAATTTTTTCTCCTATATGTTATGCCACATGGCTGCATTGTGATCAGTATTTTTAATTGGTATATTTTATCTCATAACGGTAATTTTGATACTCCTGCACTGCTTGGTTGGATATTTAGTCTAAATGCCGTCTATGGTACCTTTTTATCCGTTATATTCAATGAACATTCTTAGGGTAGCTTATTTTTTTATTCTTTTCCCTTGATCAATCAGGTATAGTAAAAAGTTCTTTGTTCGTCAATTCAAAAATTAGCATTATCTTTTCTGTTGAAGAAAATGTCACTTAGCTGTGTCCGACTTCTGCGAAAGCTATAGATATTATTCACATATCTTGTAGGCTATATGTCTTCAGTGGGTAAATGTTGAGGACTTCGAAATCGACAGACTTAAAGACTACATGGTTTTCAATCTGATGATTATATTAAGTTATTTACTGTCGATTAAAAGGCATTGTTTCACTATGCATGCCTTTAATGCTTACCCAATATCGTCGAAGCTAACATTCCTGCTTATACACTGATCCTGTGTAGTAAATTTGTGTTTTTCTAATACTTCACTATGCTTTAATTGTGGGTAATCACTGGTGTTGTTCATGTATATACCAGAATCAGTGCAGGTGTCAAGAGTAAGTTTTATATTTTATTGTCGATAAGGAGATTATCCATTTGCATTATTTAAAGTGCTATATTGCTCTTAATTTAAATTTTCCCTGACGTTCCCAGTGGAACATAGGGCTCCAAGCTAGAGGCGTGAAGATTCTGTAGCAGTGTTTATTTTTACAGGATGGGGTTGCTAGCCTCATGCCCAACCTTCCCTCTTTACTAGTCTTACTACTGGCTTTGCGAGGTAAAGGCGTGCGTCGGCCGAGGATCGAACCGCGGACCATGTGCATGGTCGGCGAGCGTCCTAACCACTATGCCACCGACGCATAAATTGCTCTTAAGATGTGGTAATTTGCACTAATATATATTATTGTAATGAGAATATTTGTTTGATAAATGATGCATGTAGCTAGAGGCATTTCTTCTAATGATTCGAAGCAAAATTTGTGGTTTTAATGCATGCATATTTTGAGGCACTAATTGAACTATGTTCTCAATAATTTTGTTTTGGTTGCTTTTTTAGGCTTCTTGGAAGTAAATAACTGAATGCTCAAACTTACCGAAAATTCCATTTTTGAACTTTGTGACTTAATCCCCGTTTACTCCCCATATCTTCCTTTATGTATTTCACACCACTTGGAATTTCCGTATAATACTGTCTCTCCATTCACTTTAGATACATCGAATTATTTCATCTGTAATTTGCACCATCGTGGTTGATGTATATGTTGTTTTTCTACTTGACGATCGCTAAACTATGGAGACCATATATTTTCATCCTTTTTAGTTCTGTGAATTTCACAAATTATTCAGAGTCGTCTTCCCCGTTATCTGTTTTTTATAGACTTTTCATTTTATGCATTATACTACTTATTGTAGTTTCAGTTCTAATATTCAGTCACAGAGTGAAAGGAAACCTCATGTGGATATCGTTCAGTTTAGATGTTTTTCATCCTCATTTTCATGCACAGTTTATTTCTATTATTTACGCGTACTTGTGATTTCATTGTATAGGAATTAAAATCTTTACATTTATTTATATCACTGGGCGCATAAAAGGTAATAGCGGCCCTCCGCATTTTTATTTGTTCTGTTTAGTGCATGATTTAATAACTAAGTTCGTTTTTTTTCATATGCTGGTACTCGTCTATTATATTTTGTGCCTATAACTTTTTCAAAGCAAGCTTTTATGCTGTGAACAGAGGGAAAGATACATTGCTTATGTCCACATGCTATGCTTTTTATTCTAACTTAGATTATTCCTATAGTATACGTAAATCATCTTTCAGATTCATCTTCGTGTATCCTATGATGCAACTCAGAAATGATTAGACCTTGATGATTTTATGATGTGCATATCAACCACAGTGTATGTTGTGTCATGAAATATCATATAGTTTGTAGTTGTGTTGTGGACACAGAGCAACTTAGTTTAAACTGCTGTATTCATGATTGAGCTGTTACACTTGCCCGACACCTCTGGCCACTTCCAACAGGACACCTGAGCTCACAATAAAGTATTCTTCCAAGGATATTATGGAAAACTTTCATCCGCATGAATATAGATTCTTGCTGTCATAATCCTAGACGAAACTGGTTCTCACTGCATTAGGACTTTGACTGTCACTGGTGACATCTTGATAGTCACTCATTGCCTCAGTAGTCTCGATTTTGTTGCCTGGGTGACCAGAGTAGATAACTCACTCGCCAGTTGACAATCCATTCCATTTGCTCTCGTAGATTCCGAGCACTTCAATGCCACATCTTCACATATTTTTCCAGCCAGGGCAGCCATCCCAGCTTCGTATATTGTGAGAACACTCCACGTCCCCATTCTTATTTTTCCCTTTATCGAGAGAATACATAGGCTAACTGGCTTCCTGAAGTCCTTCACCAATCTGTGTCATTTTTCCCCTCGGAGTTCAGTGAAGAATAAGTTTTTCGACATGTTTGTTGTGCTTTAAAGTTTTTGTTTCGGTTGGATTGATTTTCGGGTGTGGAACCGGTAGCCTCACCCCAAATCCTCCCTCCTTTTCCGGGTTTCGGAATGGCTAGAAAACTAACGAGCCAGTAAATTAGGCGAAGTTGATTCTCATGGTCTAATTTTAAGGGGTTGATTGATGTCTCTGAATTTCGCTTTCCAGTTAATAATTACAGAGTAGAATTCCTAGGTAATTTGTGTATTAGGAATGTTGAAACTGTAACATATAACTCGGATGATAGTCCACCAACAATCCCAGTGTCATGTGATTATAAGTTATCTTTTTGTAAGCCCCAAACATTTACGACCAACTATCTGCCTCATTTATTTTAGTTTACTTACATACAAATATAATACTTATTTTAAATCAATCCCCGATTTGGATATAAATCAAGAATAAGATTCGATGACGCACACAACAAAGTTATACGGGGGAATTGACTTCAGGCTTTATCTTTTTCCCAAGTATTTGTAATACATCCAACATATAATTGGCTTATTTTTGTTAACGCGAAGACAATATCCCTACATTTCTTCCTGTGCTTCGTTGAATGACTAGTTAGAAGATTGTTCCCACAAACTAAATCCAAAAAGGGCAGAAACCATATGAATTCACTATAGACCAAATTTATGCAAGTTAAATAATACTTACCCATTCCTGTACAATCTGTGTGTTCCTACTTAGATAGGTATAAATATATTATTATTGCATTCCGAAAGTGGCTGGTTCAGTATTGCACTCCAAGCTATCATATGTTTTGGAAGATTCAGTTTTGGAACCCATCAACAGTACGCACCCACCGGAGTTTTTACCTAGTACCTTACGAATACAAAGCCAGTGTGACCGGATCCAGTGGCTCATAAATTCAAAGTTCTGCCATTTCATGATATGTAGCGCAACCTCCAGTCTTTGACATCGATGACTGACTTAGTCGACCCGCTAGTCATGACTTCACACTGGAACTCCTAGTAATTTCTTATATAGAGCCCGTTGCTAGTAATCATCAGATTGATTCTGAAGTGTTTGTGGGCTTGAGCACATAGCACCTCCAATTCCGAGTGAACTAATTCATTACCAGTATTTTCCGAAATATGTAAATGTCTTGTTGAGTAGAGTTAATTTTATTATTTTGATTGAAGATTGCAATATTTCGATGATAGTCGTATAGACTCCTAAGTGATTTTCCGCATCTCAGGACTGGACAACTCCCTCAGGCGACTGGTACTCTGGAATGTTAGTGTAGCTGGCTAGAAAGAAACAAAGTTCATATTGCTGATGATATGCCTCGCGTGGATGTGAAGGGTAAGTTATTGCTATCGTGATTTGAGTTTAGTGTCGTCTTCAAGAAGACCTACAGTGGCTGAGCAGAATTCTAGGCTTGTACTCTACAGTAGTTTATTTCTTTAATGACATACATTTTGATGATGTTTTGAAACAACCTGAAGAGTACTGATTTTTGGTACTGTCATGGGCTAGATGTTGGTGAGTTAGACCGTATAATTGTGTATGACTAGTACG